TGCAGGGGTTCACCAGAGTAGCCTACTTGGGCCTATCCTATTCAACATTTTCACGTCAGACGTTCCTCCCCTGCCGGGTGGTGGAATCGTGTCAATGTTCGCAGATGACACCTCCATCATCTATAAGGGTCGAGTGATCCGTGCTTTGGCCTACAATCAGGCCTGGATGTTCTGTCCGACTATTTCAAGAGCTGGAAGATTTGTATCAATGCAGCTAAAACACAAACCATTCTGTTTCCACACTCGAATTCACCTCGGCTTGTTCCGCCTGCTAACGTCAAGGTCCATGTTGATAGCACTCCTATTGAATGGTCGAGTGAAGTAGTCTACCTTGGTCTCACCCTCGATAGCAAATTGCTATTCCGATCCCATGTGGACTAGACATCCACCAAGTGTAACATCTTGATCAGGTCGCTCTACCCTCTGATAAACAGGAAGTCCACCCTGTCCCTCAAAAACAAGTTTGCTGTCCACAAGCAGATCATTCTGCCGGCTATTGAGTATGGTATGCCAATCTGGGAGAGTTGTGCTAAGTGCCACCACCTAAAGCTTAAGAGGATCCAAAACAAGATCATTAGAATGATCCTTAACAGTCCACCGCGAACTCGTAATTCTGAGATTCACCACCTGGCCGGTCTTCAAACACTCGAGGAGCGAAAGACTTCCACGCTGGAAAGGTTCAGAGTCGCCTGTCTGCGATCAAACCACCAGATCATTCGTGATTTGGCAACCTAGTTTAAGTAGTTAGGTAGGTCCCAGTGCTCAAGTAGGTAGGTTATCAAATTTTTAAATTCATACGAAAACAATCCCATAAAAGGGTATCCTGTAAATTAGCGCTAAACGCAATCATCGCATTAGAATAACCAATTAACTGGAACAAAGATGAAGAGCCAAAGACTAACCAATTGAAATGTTAAACCAAATGTTGATACCGGTTCCTCAGTCTACTTGGCTGCAGGAATCGGTGAGTTGACAAGAAACGCCGGCTGTAATGCAAAGAAGATAAACATTGTTCATGGTAAAGTTGAGGTCTGTCTAATTTAAAGGCTACACTTTTACCTAGGGCAAACAGCCGGGTAATTTGCTTGTCGCTCGGCAGACAAAAATAATTCCCCTTAAACCAACCACATCACCAAAACGGTCCCTTTGAGGGCCATAAAACATCAAAACGGCTCTTTTCAGAGCCACGAACCATCGAAACGGCCCTTTTCAGGGCCACCACAATTTTCAAAGAAAGAGTTAGTTTGGAATATTTCCAAAACACAAGAATAATTACACATGAACTGAAAAATAATCCCCCTTATTCTGCGAGTCACGTGACTCTCTGTCACCGGTGAGGTGACAATTATTGTTACCTCGTGTGAGGTGACTCTACATGCAAATCAAATGGAGGGGCACCTCACCGGTGAGATAGAGTTACGTGACTCGTAGAATAGAGGGAAATACTATTAGTAATAAACGGAAAATGGACACTGATCAATTATTATACTTCGGAAGAAATCAACGGATGTCATTTTTCATTTTCATTTTCATTTTATGATGTACAAGGGGGCCATGTCACCGATGTGAATATTCACACCATCCATAATACACCAGGGAAGGGGAGAGGAGTGAGCAACAAAGCATCTTTACCCATGGGGGTTAAAAAAGTTCTGCGAGGTATACTTATGGTAAACCAGCTGCTCAGGGATTGTAGAAAGGAAAGGGTTGGGTAGGTTTTGTGTGAAAAGCGCATAAGTTATTATCGTATCGTTGAAAAATGGCCTCGTTTAGTTTGCGCTCTCGTCACATAGCGCATCGATTACATCACACCGTCAATAAAAAAAGAAATTAAAGGAGATTGAAAGAGATTATTAGTGAGTTTTAAACTGTGATTTACCTATTAGAAATACATTTGTAAAATTGTCTCCGTGTACTGAACAGCCATCCCTCTCGCTTACCCGCCGCCTAAACGTCTGAAGGAGTGTGACGTCAAACTCCGTCATCCATTTAATCAACCGGATAACGAAAGAGCGTTCAATGAGCGTCAGCGACCCTAAAGGGTGGGGGGAGCACCATACATGAACGATATCACAAATCGTGCCACCGTACTACATATTGTTGGGATGATAACCCGAATAAAGGGTGATACGGTCAAAATTTGGTCAATATCAACTTGACGTATTTCTTTCAATTTTGCATTTAAAAAACCTGAACACCCCTCATTTTGAAGGTGTGTGTGTGTAGAATGTTGCTCCTATTTTGATTTTGGAATTCACTCTTCAGTTGTCAAAATGCCGTCCAAGCAAGAAGAGCAGCGTATCAAAATTTTGCTCGCGCATCGCGAAAATCCGAGCTACTCGCACGCAAAGTTGGCAAAATTGCTAAAAGTTGCCAAATCAACCGTTACAAATGTAATTAAAGTGTTTGGGGAACGTTTGGAAGTCTGGATCGGGGGGAAATCGAAAACCGGAAGCCGCTGAGACGACAAAGAGAGTTGCCGGTAGTTTCAAGCGAAACCCTAACCTCTCTCTCCGAGATGCCGCAAATAAGCTGGGTGTATCGTCTACAACCGTGCATCGAGCCAAAAAACGAGCCGGACTATCGACTTACAAGACTCCAAATCGCGATGATAAACAAAATACGACGGCCAAAGCGCGATCCCGGAGGCTGTACACGACGATGCTGACGAAGTTTGACTGCGTGGTAATGGACGACGAAACCTACGTCAAAGCCGACTACAAGCAGCTTCCGGGACAGGAATTTTATACGGCAAAAGGAAGGGGAAAGGTAGCACATGAAACTGTCAAAGTTCGCAAAGAAATATCTGGTTTGGCAAGCCATCTGTACCTGTGGCTTGAAAAGCAGCATTTTCATAGCTTCCGGGACTGTCAACCAAGAAATTTACGTGAAAGAGTGTTTGAATAAACGTCTGCTGCCTTTCCTGAAGAAACACGGTTGTTCCGTACTGTTTTGGCCGGATTTGGCATCTTGCCATTACGGTAAAAAGGCCATGGAGTGGTACGCCGCCAACAACGTGCAGGTGGTTCCCAAGGACAAGAACCCTCCCAACACGCCAGAGCTCCGCCCAATTGAGAAATACTGGGCTATTGTCAAGCGGAACCTAAAGAAGACCAAAAAAACTGCTAAGGGCGAGCAGTAGTTCAAGGCAAACTGGCTTTCTGCGGCGAAGAAGGTGGACAAGGTGGCTGTACAAAATCTGATGGCAGGGGTCAAGCGTAAGGCCCGGCAATTCGGATTTGGAAAAGCGGAAGCCTAACTGAATATTTTTTCTGAATTTTATACTAATTGAACTTGAAAAAGAAATTTAATTTGATTTTTTAAATAAACGATTTCCCCGATTTACACGCGTTTTCCCTTGACCAAATTTTGACCGTATCACCCTTTAGGTTGTTGGGCACTCCTTATGGTTATCGTTCATGCGGGTGTTTCAAAGCAATTTACATCTAATCAACCCTCTGTGCGACCCAACCCATGCAATGTATTTAATGTTGAGAGCCTTGTGTGCTTTATCATGAGTGGTCACGGATCTGGCAATCTTCACATGACTATGCGTCCCGGTGACGACGACTACTATCTAGCCGGTTTACAATAGGTGTTTTACAAGAGTACTAGAATAGATCGGAGTATACTTACAGTTTTCGACGTTCCCATGTACTCCCTGTTTACCTTTAATCCTACTTCCCTATCTTGTAGTGTATTGTATTGTGTTTCTGGATATGCCACTTCTATCCTTCCTCTGACATAATGGATCGTCGCTCCGGAATATCTTCAAAACTCGATTGGTCTCACCCGATATTCTTGAAATGCTTGACATTTTGAATGAAACATTGCCATTTCCAGACTTCGTGTTGTTAGTTTTCTTGAAGGTCTTGTGCTTAATGCTTGATTTGTCTTTCGCTTCGTATTTCTAAGAATTGACTCTATAAATAAATAAAAAAAAAAAAACAAACACAACGCTTCCCACCCACAAGCTGTAGACCGAGTGCAGAATCTTTGTGATGATACTTTCCAAACGTGCATACCTATAGAAATAAATCCAATTCAATAAAGGATGGAAAAAAAAAACAAATGATTTCCACTACGACTAAATTCAAATGCTGTGCTTAATCATTTATTATATTAGTACAGAGCAATAAACAATGTACGGTGATGATTAATCTGTTAATATGTTTTTATAAGCGGGTTCATATGCACTTTTGGTAAGCATCAACACTGATCTGGCAACACTAGTGCGCATCTTTCCAATGTGGTAAAGATCCAGATCAGCCCTGGGACCTGGTAGCCTAATTAAACTACCTCAAGGTTTTGCCAAAGCCCAGGGTACTTCGGAAGAAATCAACGGATGCCATAATTTTTTTTTTGTTTATTAATTTATTTGGTAAGGCTCAACCGAATTAACTTAACGGAGCCGAGGATTCTTGGTCACTATACAATACATCTTAAAAATATAGTCAAAAGATACAACACAATAAACACTTTATCTTCCGCTATCCAAAAAGCCTCCTCCATCAGAACTGGAGCCGCTTCCAGTAGTTTCATTGTATGGCAAATTGTTGTACGCCAACGAGGGGCAAAGCGCGTCCATTGCAGCAATGGACGCAAAACGTGGTCAGCACTCACACACTCATCACGAAACGGTTGCTTTCCAAAGTCGACGACGCATCGACCGAAAGAACTGCTGATGAAGAACAATGAGGAGGACCACACAATGGTTGCTGCCGAGAAAACAGACGATCGCGTAGCACACATCGAGAGTGGTCTGCTTTTGTCGACAGCCGAGTGAACACTGAGGATGCCATAATAATATCGGGAATTTTAAATAACGTTCGATCAAAATAGTTAACATATGTGAGCGTAGTCCTACGTCAACTGTTCGTACAACCCCATTCGGGTGTCCCTTGTAGTTTTTTTTTTATTAGGGTAACCATCATTTAGTATTAAGTGTCGAAAGGTCAATGCTTCTTCAAACCATGTCGCCAGGAAAATACTTGATGCTAGCTGTGTGTAGGTATAACATGATTACTTTACCGCAAATGTTTATTTAAAGGATTTCTTTGCATGTCTTGTTTTTAATTTGGTGAATAAGTTATTAAATGTTATCAATGCAAACAACCCACTACTGCCTACTGGTAGCGTCTAAAAACTGGCAAACCATGTTGCGCCACCACAATATTTTAGTCCGTTGTTTTCTCTTTCTCGTTTCTGTCTTCGGTACACAGTTAACAATATGACGCTTTTTAGCAATGATTATTATGAATCATATTATTTCGCCTATCATACCGATGTCCACCATTTGCCGACAAGCTTCCACCAACTATAGTTGACCATTCCGATAAATAGCACTACTGAGTACGTCGTTAACTATACAGATTTTGTTTCATCCGTTTTGTCAAAACCCATCAAAGGTGGTTTTCAATGATAATCTTCAATCTTTGGAAATCCATTTGCTCAAATTAGCATTCCACTCGCTATAAACTATTTCAAAAGGCAACTCTCAAAAAGCTATGAATCGGGGAAAAAGGGATCTTACTCACATCAATAACAACAACAGTTTAAAGACGTCTTTGCAAAGCTAAGGAGAGGGATAAGCACTAATATGGTTAATCTTGTTTTAAACATTCTTATAACGTTAGATTGCTTATGAGAAGGAAGAAATTTTTTTGTCTGTGGGATTCGGAAAGATTCGTGTAAGAAATTTCACTGGAATGTACTGTTCAAATTCGCCTTGGAAAAGTATTTTTTTTCTGCGTGCTGTTTAGTTATTCTGTTGCCATCAGTCTCAAACAAATATAATCGTTCACCATCATTCCGAAGAAATTGAAAACTTTGGTTCAAATTCCTAAAATAATTTCAATACCAAAACCTGGCGATCAGCTCTCGACTACCTCGCATATGCCACTCCATATTTTCAAAATGATTACACATAAACAAAAATTAAAAACGAAACAGCCTTTTCATTGGATTCATGTTTACTGTATTTCAATATTATAGCAATCCTTATCTACCGGTACCGTAGAAGGGATTAGTTCAAACCATTCCTATGTAGCTCGATGCTGAATAAAACTCAATAAGCCCTTGTATAAGTATGCCGATTGGATGTACTTTTAGGTAATTTCGACTCTAAAGCTAAATGAAAATAATTGGGTGTAATAGGGCTAAAGTAACAAGAAACATTTTGCAACGAAAAAAGGCTACTGATTGCTATTGAAAGGATAAAAACAAAACCTTCTCGCTTCTACACTTGCAATAATAATTAAATAAATAGGTATATATGCAGAAAATTTAGCTACGCATGCTTACTCCAGTTTGCTCTCTCACACTCATTCTCAGTCTCTCGGTCCTCTCGTTCGCTTTCAATTTTGCATTCTTCACATAGTCGGTTGAAGATCCAGTCTGTTCTCACTCGCAAAAAGAAGGCAACGCAACCTCCGTGATCACTCAGATCACCCACCGCAGACACGTGGATTTGCGCTGAGACAAAACAAACGTCCAAATGACCGCTCACACACTTCCTCCTAATGCATACTTCTAGTGCTGACCGTTGGCTATCGCTGCCAGACTGTAGCTGGAAGCAGGTCGCGAACGCGAATCAACAAACTCCTCCTCATTATCTTCCTCCTCCTCCTCATCATCATAGTCTTCCCCGTCGTCTTCGGTTTCCGACAGTTGATTTCTCGAGTTGAGTCCAGATCTGAGCAAATTAGAGCGCTTCATTGGTGGCGAATCCAGCACCGAATCCGGACTGTCCCCATCTTCGTCACCGTATTCGTTCAAACTGCTGTTGCTTCCGCCGTGGGGGCTTCCCGGTGGGCTAAGGGCCGACGTCAGCTTCTTCTTCGAGTCGGACCAAAAGTTTGAGATTCGACTGTCCTTGCCGAACATCAGCAGGAACGTCCGGATGAAGTCGGTGGATTTTTCCTCCCATTTGCTGATGATGTCGCCCTTGCCCTTCTTCACCTTGTCCTTCAGTTCGTCCATCTTATTCTGGAAGCGGAACTTCTTCTCCGACAGGAATGACACGTTCAGTTCTTTGGCTGTATACCCGCGGGCCAGGTTTCGCCGCACGTACATGTCGTAGTCCTTGACGATCCGAGCGACGATGTCGGACGTGCTGACGCCTTCGGTTCGCTCCGTCGCAACGAACATTCCGCGGGCCTTGATGATGGCATACAAGTCGTTGCAGTCGTCCGAGCTGTACGGAATTTCGTCGTGGGCCACAAAGTCGATCTTGTGTGTCTCCAGGAAATCATCATCCAACTCCCAGGGGGCATCACGGACGATCTGCGGGCAGAGAACATGAGGGGAAAAAGGTGGGTTAGTTGAATGTCTTGGAATTACCGATTGATTGTTGGAATGGTCTTAAATATGAGTACTAATTTTAAAATCGAGCAATTCCTTTGAATCTGGATAACAGTGGATGTTCTTTTCCAGCATATTTATTTAGTAGGCTCATTGTCTCTTGGAGCGAAACGGAGCCGAAGGACTATTTTTTTGTTTTCAATACAATTCACATCATGATTTTGTTTCATCAATCATCTGTGGATTTTCTAAACATCATAGTATTGGGCGAGTTTTGCAGAAAGATCTCACATAATCGATCTATTTAAATCAATCTATTTTTTCGAATTGATCATTTTTTAAGAATAATGCCAGATTTCATTGAGCTCCGTTAATATGTGACTTCCCTAGGAATCCCCCCTCCCCCTCCCCGACACGGTGTTTGGAAAGCCCTAGAATCCCAGCAGATCCTAGAATATCTCCAAAAAGTATCTGAACTTCAAATTCTTATGGAAGGTTCATAAACATCCCCTGGAAAATACCAAAAATATTCCTGCAAGGTTTCTTATCATTCCATGGATAATCCTTGAGCATCACAGTGATCGAGAAAGTTCAGACGACGCGAAAGGTCATTCATTATTACTGAAAGGTCATTGAACCTCTAAACATCTCCGAGAAGCCTTACATTTAAATGTAAGGATTTCCCATTCATAGAACTTCTCTAAAAATCTAGTTAGCTGGCTGAATTTCCCTGCAAGAGTTCTGATGATCCATAGAATCCTGAACATCCTCAGGAGTTCCTGTTCTATCCCTGAACATACTCGAAAGTCTTTAAATTTTCCTCCGATGGTCCTCAACCCCCGAAGGTACCTGTGCACCAAATAACGTTGCTGTTCATCCTCCAAAAAGGTCGTTGAGCATCTTCATATTGCCTGTAGCCACACATTCCCCATCAACCGTCCCCTAACATCTATGAAGTACTCCAGAAGGGTTTTGAACCCATACTGGGAGGTACTTGAACAACTTTCGGAAGACATTGGGACATTTCTGGGTGAAGTTTGAAAAAAATTCTGGAAAAAATTGGAAAACACTTCCAGCGGAAGCCAGAAAGACTTCTGAAGGTATTTCGAAAACAGTTACAGGGGAAGTCGCGAAAATCTTTTGAGGGATGCGAAAAGTAACTCCCGAAAGAAGTCAGTTACAACTTCCAGGGAAGTCGGAAGCCTCGAGAGAACCTTTCAGTTTTATAATAAAACAGCAAAAAAGGTTATCTTCCATTAAATTCCACTTAATTTATTTTGATACAAGTGGATGAGTATTTAAAGGGGTCAGATTTTGGTAAGTCTTTAGTGAGAATGACACTGATGAAGACTTCACATTGTAGTCGAAATACGTATTTGTCATGAATACCAAAATTATTTAAGTGGAATTAAATGGAAGATGATTTGCTGTTTTATTTGAGAATCAGGCTGAAAATCCAATTTCATTACTTCATTTCAGTTTAATTTAAAAATATTTTCGAAGAAGTTTGGAGAACTTCCAGATGAATTCGAAAAAGAAACCTGTGAAAATTCGTAAAAAAAAGCTTCCTGAAGTTGGAAAAGCTTAATCCTCAGTAGAAGGAAGCTGGAATAAAATTACCCTGGGATGGATCAGAGAAAGCTTTTGGAGAATGCCGGAAAAACTTCCAACGTATGCCAGAAGAGTTTTAAGTTTCAATTTGTCAAAAATAAATCCTGAAGAAGCCGAAAGAATCTTCCAATAACAGATAGGGGAATTTACGTATTCTCGGCAACCTAAGCAGCGACCTTCTTTCTATAGCCTTTTTCTCTATGGAACGCACACATATGCAGTATTGGTTTGTTTACAATCTTTTGCTGCCAGCTGCTCTAACAATTTCAGTCGAAAGAATTGTCAAAAACTGTTTTGAAACGCTTTTACAAAGCTCCAATCTTCTCTAGTGAGAGCGAGTATTGTCGGCAACCAGTTTTTCTTCGGCAACCGTTCCATTTGAACTGCATGTAAATCTGCTGTTCTATTATCGGCAACTCGAAATCAGCTACAATTTGTAGTGCGTGTGTTTCATTTCAAGAAAACCTTGCTAGATTGCTTTTTCTCAGTGGTAAAAATATAGTAAAATTGAATCTGAAAGCATGAAGAATCGTTTGCATGCATTCAGCGAAGTGTTTTCGTAAGAAAATCAAGTGAAAATAGTGTTTCAATTTGGGTTGCCGAAAAAAGTCTGTCATGCCGAAGCCGTCATTTCCCCTATGTACTCTCGGGCGATGCCAAACAGAATTCTGGAAGACTTCGGAAGAAAAGTCGGGAAAAAATCGGAAGAATCTTCCAGGGGAAATCGGTTGAAAATTTCGGAAGAAGCTCAAAGAAACTACCGAGATAAGCTTAGAAATGAGGTCGAAAACAATTTCCAGGAGAACCCAGAAGAAATTACCGAGGGAAATAATTTGAAGCAAAACTACATCCGGAGGAAGTTGGACGAAGATTCCGAGACAAAAAGAGAAACTTCTGGGCAATGTAACAAGAAACTTCTGAGAAAGGAAGAAGAAAACACCTATTGGGAAGTGAAGACAATTTCAGGAAAAGCCTGAATTTAAAAGATGAACATTCAGATTAACCCATCTGGTTACTGAATATAATTATTTCCAGATGCCCGGGAAGAGCTGCTGTTTCCTGAAGGCCGGGAAATGGAAACACTACTCAGAATTGAATTTTCTCGAAATTGCCTTAATAATATCATTAGAACTTTCTAAAAATTCATCAAAGGACTTATTTAGAATATTCACAATCCACATGGAATTTTCCCCAGAACTACCTAAAACATCTACTATGAACTCACACAATTTACTCGGAATACTAATCAAAACTCTCTAAGAGCTCTTCCAAAAACTCCCTTGAAAATTTTCGCTGAAATGCCTTCTTGTTATCCCTAGAATTCATTCTAAAATCTCCGCAAAATTCTTTGTGACTATCTACTTCAGGGTTTTTACAGTTTTTCAAGATCCCGAATCTCATTTTTCCAAAAAGAGGACAAAGTATATTTTTCCCGATTTGTCGTCATAATTCACGGGCTTTTCCCGGTGATTTCAAATTCCCTGCAACCCCCCTCCCCAGATAGAAGTTCTGACTACACCACTGTAACAATGCTATAGAACGCTAGTCTAAAGTGCAAGTGAGATCTCAAACTTGGGAGTACTCCAGACAAGGAGAAATTCTCTAGAGTTAGTGGTATGAAAAGTTTTATTGGTTCTAAAATTAAATACAACCAAAGATTTCAGTCATCGAGTTTGCGATCAAACGCTGTCAAAATAGATAAGCGGATTAAGAGAGGATTCCAAGCCGGAGGCGCTGAGGCGTTCTGTTGTAGAGCATCACTCCGGCAGATCAACCGACCCTTGTACTAACGGACTCACACAGCGTCATCCAGGCCAGGGCGTCACAATATCAGCTTCAATCGAGCAAATCGATGCGACGAAGAGACTGCTGACTTTCTTTTTCTGTTAAAGTCGAACAGCTTCGCAGCATTCTAGAACCTCAGTCGGCGTGCACAAACAAATGTTCAATCGCTTGTCTCTCTTTCTCCCGTCGCTCCATGGGTCTTCCTTTCAAGCTTCGGTGAAACGGATGAGCGAAAGAGCGCTCGACTTTGATAGTTTTCTCTTTCATGAAACACATCAACAGAGGTTTCATGACGTATATGACGGAAAATGAAATAACACATTTAAAGCATATCTCACGTCAAAACACTTGAAGATTACACGTAATATTTTTAATTTATGATCGAAAACGGGACATACCGCATTTTAAACAAATTGAAAGAGCGGTGATAGAGTGTTCGTGAAAGGGGATTGAAAGCCATAATGAGGTTTCGTTTAACTAGAAAATCGACGTTAGTTACATTGAAAGCGATGAGCAAAGCAACGACGAGAAGTTCCACAGCCAGCCTTTCCTTCTAAGCGTCCTGCTTTTTTTATTTTCGTTTCTTGCTGATAGTCTAGCTAGGCGTTATAGAAATGAAGCGTCGAACACGTATGTATGAGAGAAACAAAACACGAGTTCATTTTAGAGCTTCGAAAATGTAGAACCCTGATCCAGGCGCTGGAAGTCGAAGCCCTGAGCCACCCCTGGATACAAGCCATGACACGGTACGCCCCACCTTCAACCGTCTTTACGCGGATTTCCGGACACTGCGGTGTTCCCGGAAACGAGGCTACGGACAGGCTGGCGGGGATCTGGTCTATCCGGCCCCTGCTACACCAGGAACGTACCCCTCCTAAACGTCAGGTGTTGGATTGCGAATACTATCATGGAAGCCTGACAGCAGGAATGGTTCCAGTCGGGGAAAATTTTCCTGCGGAAGATCAAAGAAGCCGTACGACCATGGCTAGACAGTCACAAGTACAAGGACCAGCGGATCATTTCAAGACTCCGGACCGACCATGCGAGGATTTCCTGCAAATTCGGTGGGACAGCCTTCTTTACGGTTAGTATAATTTGTAGCCTCGGTGGAATATGTGCTGTGATTCTACCCGGAGTTCCAGAGGCTACGCGAACAACACGAACTCCCGGAGAACGGCAGGAATCTACTTGGTAACGACTCCTCGATGTTGGCTTCGCAGATAGATATCCCGAAGGAAGTCCACCTGTACAACCAAATCTAGCTCTCTCGTCGTTGGCAGCGTTAATCGTGTTCTCTCGCCTTTCTATTTTTTCTGCCGCAGGGGTATCTCTGCCGGACCACTGTCTCCTACGGTGGAGCTCTCTTGTTCACGCAGCCATTCCCCACCACAGCCCCGATGTAATTCTCATTTTACATTAAGTTTTTTTATATGTAGTCTGTCTCTTTCGGCGGGTAATCAGAGCCAGTTGTGCGTTACGTTAATGTAAAATTGTAACCTCTCTTTTGAGGTAGGCTCTAAGCCTGGCCTTGCACTATCGAACGTGATGAACTAGCCTACGGCTAAAATCTCAAAAACAAAAAGTCA